AAAACGATCTGCCGGGAGTCCGGTGTTCTCACGGCTCTAGTGAGCCTAGCCCCGGCTAAGCTAGTGGGTAACAGACGTCTCCGAAAACGTCGGAGCGCTTTTGAAAGTATGCGGCGTCTTGATAAACTGAGCAGATATTTGAGGTTTACACAGCTACATTCCAGCCTGAAAATATGTTAAACGTTTATTTTATGACCCAGAAAGAATAATAAGAGTAACATTAACACTAACTAGCTGCGCTATGAATTCTGGGACACAGCTTCTTCTTCTTCGGGGTTTAACGGCAGCTGGCATCCTTGTACATGCAGTGCTGCCATCTTCTGTTTCAGTCCGTTATTACACTCTTAAATCCTGCTACTCATTCCTGCGTCTTTTGTGATCTTACAAAGCTTCAAACAACGCGTCGACTATTAAATCAGTCGTCGACGATTTTGATAGTCGACGTAATCGTGACTAGTCGACTAATCGTGGCAGCCCTAGTCTACATGCCTAAATGCATGTAAATACAAACCTGAGTTTCTGCCATGTGACTGGCTGATTGGATATTTTGTGTTAACAAACAGTTAAACGGATGCACATCATGAAGTAACAAGTGAGTCTATCTATCTCTTTAGCTATGTGGTTACATTCACCTGTCTGCTACTGATGTTGACCACATGTGCACAGTATTGTTTTGGCTGAAACACAAAGGATTTGTTAGTGCCCCAATGTGCATTTTCATAATTAACAAATAAGCTAAGCATAGGTATAGGTTTTACAATGATGCTTCATGATTCAAGGAAGGAAACTTGCCTCACAGTAAAGAATGGCAGAATTCACAAAACTAACCCATCCTAACTTCCAAGTATCACAGCTAGATACTTGTATTACACAATCTAGTTGTCCTCCTTTACATGCTAAATATAGTTCTAGTCATTATCAGTGCTTTACGTCATAAAAAAAATATGCAGATCCATGAAGAAACCAAGGTCTAATGACTAGACCGAGTCACATGCTTGTGAGGCAAGCAGCATAAGAGCAGAACGAGGTTACAGGTGGAATTTCCCCTGTCTCTCCTTTCTCTCTGACGTCATGTCCAATGGCAGTGGTTCATTGCTGCTCCTGCTGCCTAGCAATCAAATGTGTCTGACAAGGTGATACTCAGGTGTCAACAGCTTGGGCTGGTTCAACAGTAGCATACAATTAAGGAACTTTGCAATCAGCAGTTCCCCTGCAAGCCTTTAACAGAAAACAGACAGACGTGGGTATTTTTCTACATGTGGAAAAAAGGGGGAAGTTCAACAGTTTTGTTTCTCTTTTCACAAGTCAGTTCCTGCATTTATGCAAGTCATTTGAGGTTTCAGCCTTCCCATATGATTGTTTGTTTAGCATATGAACATTGCCATCTTGTGGTTATTTCTAAGGCATTAATTTACACCTACAAGCAAGGATCATTGAGCAGATTTGGTGGCCATGTGAAATTGTGAGTCATTACGCAGTTATTGAGGTTGAAATTGCATGTGTGGGCACTAAAGCACCAGATAACAGAACTTCATATTAGCTCTTGATACTCAAACATCTCTGAGATTTGCAAGAAGTTTGACTTGTTTTCAAAGATTACCACATACACCAACTTGCAACCAAAAAAAGCTACTATATTCCCTTTCTGCAGCAAGGCTGCTCTGAAAGCTTATTATGAAACTGGAGTGCTGCTTTCTAAATGGGATAAGAGCTCAGTTCTTCTTTTTGTGTAGTTAAATCAATATCCAGAAGCCCATTAAGCCAGGCGGGTACATCTTGGGCAAGGAGACATATCTGATGTCTGAGGAGCCCTTCAACACTTAAAGAAACACAAGGACTCTCCATTGTTGTCCTCGGTCATCTTCAGACTCCTCAGCTGCTCAGGCTGCTGATGGTGACATCATTGTCACAAGATAAGAAGGCTAACAGGAACTGCTTTAGCCTAAACCACACAGTACTCTATCCACAGAGTGCTCAAGTCCACACAGATGAAGCCTATGCAACATTAAAGCAATGAAAAGCAGAGAGGAAAGGGGCAAAGTGTGGGCAGCAGCGTAGCAAGATGTTCCTAAAACAAGGAGCACATGTTTGAAACAAACAAGACTCCACACTGGAGTATATTTGGAAAGTCTTGTTCTGGATAATTGCTTTCAGTGGATTGAAGTTTCCAATTATCCACAAGCCTCTCTGCCAGTGTTCCCACCATGGGAAGTCTAAAGGGGAGAGGGGTGGGTGAAGGACTGGTGGGTCCAGCTGTTCCCGTCTCTAGTGGGGCCGTCAGACTAAAAGCTCTTAAATCCCCCCACCTCTTCCCTCTGCGTCACGGCCTCCTGCTCCGAAGGGCCGGCCAATCAGACGGTGTTTGTCGTTCCCATGATACAAGCATCTCAGAGCAAAAATGTAAACATCTGGCAAACATTTAGACTCACTACAGAATAGGGCTGATCAACACTTCTGTCAAGCATGCCGGATCTATATTTGTGTAAATCAGTAAACATTCATTGATCCTGCAGAGACAGAGAGACCCCTGTGAGGAAACCTCAGGGTGTTTCAGTACAACATACTTTCTCATAGCATATATTTGTATTTTATTCAAGAACATTTCAGGAAATTATGAAAATTGTACATAATTACGTAGCTGAAGTTGAAAATACACATTTAAACAGCTCTGATCTAATGTAACAGAAAGGCCAAAAAAAGACAACCAGCTCACCATGACTGCAGACATGAAAAATGACATTCATGCTTAGAAAATTATTCAAATGAGCAGTCATTTCATCTGTAATCTCACTTAATTGCAGTCAGAGATAGAAGATATGCCAATTTGAATATTGCTCTAACTGGCTAGTTATGCACAGACTCTCAATTTCCACACTTTCTAGGCCTATAGTTAGTGCAGCTGTGCAGGGGTCAAGGCTATATTTTTCATAATGGAGGACAAAATGAAAGCTCTCATCTAGTAAAACAAAAGTGGAGACAGAAAAAGTGCCTGGTACTCTTCTGTTATAGCTGATCTGAACTATTTTTCACACACTCATACAGACACACACCATCACACCATGTAGTCACATGCCAGCTGACTGACACAAAGGGGAGTCACAGAAATCTATGGAGTAGTAAAGCAAGGCAGAGCAAAGCCCTGCAGGTCGTGTGGCAGCTTCTAGTACATCATATCGGTTCAGTCGTGTTTCTTTAGAGTGCATTTAGTATATAAATGCTTACATGTGGTGACAAAACACATTATTTCCTGTATCCATAAAAAGAAAAATGTACATTAAGGCGATCTCAACGTTAGCACCCACGCTGTTAGTCACACAAAAAAACAAGCAATTACTGTAAAACATGCCTTTTAAATCCCAGATGTACTTACCCCAGCAGAAGTTATCAGTACATTATATTCCCCGGCTTTGTATAGCCAGTAAGAAGCTGTTCTCTTATTTTTTAAGAAGCGGCGACGTTAGAAAAACATCCCTGGAGCGAGTTGGAGACTTTACGGTGCTACAGCTACATCATCACACAGTCACCGGTCAGCTTACCCTCCCGCTGCTTTCGTGTGCTTGCTGACACAAGGTCGAGGTTTTCTCCGGCGGGGGCTGATGCGTGGGGAATTCCTATCAGTCACATTTTCCTGGGAAATAGCTGGCCCGGCACCAAAGTTTTCCCAAAGCGTGGTAGTAGTACGCGAGTCCGAAGCAGACGGAAGCGGTTTAAGAGCTAAAAGGCGTTTTTAAAAAAGTTTCTTAGTTTAAAAAAACGGCAAAAAATGGTTCATAATTTTTATACACGTCATGAAAAATTGTCATTTGCGTGTGTCATGCGCAGCAAAGTTGGATTTTTTCAAGTTATTTACACGTTAAAAGTGAATTAATTTTACTTATACCGTTACGAAGTCGCAGGTGCGATTTTTACAGACAACCCACAGCTTCAGACACAATGTACTTAAAAATTAAGTTGAGAAAAGAGAAAATGACGGTGTTACACGCGAAACTTGGGGTTTAGTTTGAGCAGATTTTGTTCCCCTGTACTCTGTTAATATTACGACAGGCGTCATGGAGATATAAAGTGGGAACAGGCATCTTCCGGGAAAGTCCAAGCCCTTGTGAGATGAGAGCAACTGACGAAAACTCCCTGACGGGCGGGGTCGATTCCCTGGAAATATTGACCGCATGCTGTGCCAGACGTATCAAATAAGGAAAAAAAATACTGAATGGTTTTATGTATTGCTTGTATTACTGCCAATGTCAAATCATCATTAAAAGCCTAAATACTAGAATTTGAGACAAAAACAGCAGTTCCCATACCGGGAGTCGAACCCGGGCCGCCTGGGTGAAAACCAGGAATCCTAACCGCTAGACCATATGGGAAAGTCATGTCAGCCAGGAGGCAACATTACTTTTTCACTGGTTTCCAGATTGGTTGAATCATGATTGTTAGCTATTATTATCTGACCTTACAATCTTTTATGGTTTCGCGTTATACATTACACGTTTATGTTTATTTATCATTTACATATGTTTAAAGCTATCCTGTTTTGGGTTGCTGTAGCGTATTATATACAACACTTGGGAACTAGGCACCATCTAGTGGTGTTTGGAAAGTATTGTACATTAAATCTCAATGTCTTAGGCACGGGTTACACCTAAAGTAACAGAGCTAACTGGGTATGCATCGAATAGATCAGTAAATTAATAAAGTCAGTACTGAACAGGACGACAAACAGAAGATAGGCCCATTTATGAGGCGTTAGCGCGTCCTAATCAACTAATGTGGGTGCAAACATATGACGTAATTTTTGCTGGGATAGTTCAAGTGTAGAGACGGGTTCCACCAACCTACATAAAAACGCTCTAGCGATAGTAAAAACGAGCTTCAATATATTCGTACAAGTACAGGAACATCCAAAAGTTTTATTCTGTATCCACTTTTTAATTTGGCTTTATGTGATTGTACAGTTTACTAATTTCAACGCAAGCGGCGTGAGGTCTCCCTTTTGGGTATTTGGTACAGTCGTTATACTGGCAAGGGGCAGCCAAATATTTGACAAACTAGCCGCAAATCGTTTAGCTTAGCCAGCTAAGAGTTAAAATAATATACCGATTAAAAAAAGAACACGCATTTCATCACGTTTGACCCGCTTAGGTATTTGTTAACGATTTGGGTTTCCATTTAATCAAGATGTCAACTCCAGCAAGACGACGTTTAATGAGAGATTTTAAACGGTAAGCGAAAGGAAAACAACAGAGAAGTAGCTAAGGTTAGCCTCCTGCCGCTAGCTTGTTAGCGTTAGCCCAAACGGCAATCAAAACTACAACACCGCTATTAAACAACAACAATAAAATTCAGGGTCTTAAAAACACGAGATGATCATAAGTGGGTGAAGATTCGGGTAGTACTAACGAATGTTTGACTGGTAAGCTACTGATCTGTAAAGATAATTACGCCGGGGCGCTGACACCGGTGTTAGCAAGGCATCCGGGAGTAGTAACGTTCAGGTAGTGCAACTTAAGAGTCCCGGCTTATTTTAGGTGTCGTAGTACTAACTGAGACGATCACCGAACATTTAGCCTAAACTGTAAACAGCAATATTTCAATATGATTTCAGTTGGATGTGCTTCTAACTTGTAATTAAGGTTGTAGTCAAAGCGAGTAGCCAGGTGGCCCTTCAAATCCAGGTGAAACGTTTAGATAAACTGTTCATATACACACTGATCTGGGAGACCTTCTATCCGTGGGCCTTGACAGAGGGCTACCTGAACCCGAAGATCAGAAACCATCTGCTATGCAGCCACTAAAAACCTGCACAGTATGTTCCAACCACACAGTACTGGTGGTCACAAGGTCCAAAATCTAATCTCTTCTGGGCCACTGTAACACGATATTTATAGTATTTCAGCATACTTCAAGAGCGTGACTAATAGGATGAACTTGAACTGGTTAAATCAGACAGGTAGTGGTTGTAATGGCCCGTCAGATGTGTTTTTAAAAGGACTCTCTTTTTGTCTTTTGCCTCAAAACATTACTCTGAAAAGTTTTAAGTTTCTGTCTTACTGCAGGCAGAAACATTAAACATCATCATAAAAACATGGCTTAAATAAAGCCGAGTAGCTCTGTAAAATATCTCATTAAGGTAAAGCTACACAAAAGAAGAAACACAATGAAACGGAAAATAGTGGAATAATATATATATATATATAATTGCCAAGCACTAAGTGTATGTTATTGGTAAATATGTAAGGCAAGTTTGGCAAGGCAAGTTTATTTGTATAGCACAATTCAACAACAAGGTGATTCAAAGTGCTTTACAGAGACATTAGAAACAAGAACAAATAAAAAGCATGATTTAAAATTGATTAAAACAAGCAACTAACTAACTAATTAACAAACAAACAAAACAGTATATAAAATCAAAACAGATAAAATCAGAACAGATAAAATCATGTAGTGTCAGAGTCCTTTTAGGATTAATACATTAGGAGGTTCATTTTCAGTTTTAAATACTTAACTCGCCTGCCCTAATGACCAGCCTAAGAGGTAATAATAGTAAAGACTTTGACAACTGACTGTTTCAGTCATTTTCTTTACCTGTGATATAACTGTGTGTCCATTTTATCTGTCAGGCTGCAAGAGGACCCTCCAGCTGGAGTTAGTGGAGCCCCATCAGAAAACAATATCATGGTATGGAATGCTGTCATTTTTGGGTAAGTTGCTCTAATAAAAGCTATATCAGACTTTTTGTGGCTGTTTTGAAAAGTGCGTTTTTGCAGGTGATTTATCCCCTTTACTGTTTCCTCTTTTGTAGACCTGAGGGAACACCTTTTGAAGATGGTAAGATGTCCATAAAGCCCTTTGCATCCACATAATGCATCTTCCCAACGCTGACCTGACATTAACTCAGCAATAAACCATGATGACTGTTAAGCATAGAGCTTTCGTAGTTGGATCATATCGATTGGTACAGTTTTGAGTATATTTTAGTGGAAGAATTTTTTTTTTTGTTTTTGGCCAGAAAGCAACAACTGCTTATCGTTATGCATTGATTAATGTATTTATTAATCTTAAACTTTTTAATATTTGAAAAACATTAATAACGGCAGAGAAGACACTGTCAATCACCATCAATATACATGGTACTCTATATCCAAACAATTCTGTAATTTAATTCACGTTGTGCCGTTCCTTCTCTCTCTCAGGAACCTTCAAACTTACCATTGAATTCACAGAGGAATATCCAAATAAACCTCCGACAGTGAGATTTGTCTCCAAAATGTTTCATCCAAATGGTATCTACCAACATACTGAGTTTGAGATATTTATTGATGTTAAAATAATCACGCCCTAAAGTTTTAACATTGTGTGGTCTTCAATGCTCTTTTGCAGTGTATGCAGACGGCAGCATATGCTTAGATATTCTTCAGAATCGTTGGAGTCCAACCTATGATGTGTCTTCAATCTTAACTTCAATACAGGTATCCTGCCGCCTTACAGTAATGAGTACGCAGCTCTGACTCTTACGCCATAAAATGTTATTAGAAACCTAACCCACAGGCATTCTCTGTTGTGTATTTAAAGTCTTTACTGGATGAGCCAAACCCAAACAGTCCTGCCAACAGCCAAGCAGCCCAGCTCTACCAGGAAAACAAACGGGAGTACGAGAAAAGGGTTTCTGCTATTGTTGAACAGAGTTGGCGTGACTGTTGACCCCCGTTGTCGTTGGGAGTATGAACAGTGTCCAGCCCAGAAACAAGAAAACACTGATCAAGAAAATTGACCGATCTCACCAAAATGAAATGACACATCTTAATAAAATCCTTTGGTATATTTGTCCCCCTAACTGTTGCAAAGTTTGTATGCCGTTGTGTTGTGGCATTCACTCCTGCTGAATGCTGTTGTTGGGCAATAGCGTATGTTTGGTAAAAGTTAATGTACCTTGTTATATCCGGGTTACTTGCTACATGCCCCAACGTTTTGTTTCTCTCTTCTCTCAGCCGTCACTTTTCTACCCATTTATTCATACATGAAGTAATGTGGTCGGATGATAGGGCGACAGATACTTAGATGTGCTTGCTGTGTGGTTTGCTGTGTAGATACTGGCAGTTCATATTTACAAAAAGCAAAGCTGTTCTTGGGTGTTTTGGGGCTCACTCTTCTTGGTTTTGTCTCTGCCTGTCAAAAGCCTTTAAGAGGGATTGAAAATTAACCTGGCATAGACATCTATCCCTCTAACAACTCAGCAGATGCCTTTTGGGGGTCATTTTCTCTCTCAGCTTTTCTTGTAAAGCCATGCCTTTGATTTAAAAGGAAAATAATCTAAACACAAATGTCCCTCTTCAATACAGAGAAAGGATATTTCGTACCCTGTCCAAGCACTTAACTTGGTTTCATAATGCTGACTTTTTAAAGCTGTGTAAACATTTCTATGCTATTTTACAATCTTGGAAATCAGCTGCCATGAAAAGCTGATTACACTGTTTTAAACAGGATGGTGTCCATTTTCAGATTATAAACCTTTGCACCGGTAACCCATGTAACAAACTGTACATTTTCTTGTAAATAAAAATAAATATACACCATTTGTTTGCTACTTGTTTCTTAACCCGGATGAACAAAATATTTGAATTAATTTCAGCCTCTTTGATGATTCTCAGTTTTAATTTATTCAGTCATTACAGCTGTGAAAACAAGCAGACACGTTGACTGTACTCACATAAACCAACACATCTGACATTAACAAAGATCACAGCTTACAATGTGAAGATTTTCTGCTCATGGATGCAGCTCTTGTACTTGTAAAATGATCTCCATGTTCTGAAATAGCAAACAACATTGCAGGTATTGCTGAATAGATGCCTTATTACTACAGTGGGACTGGTATGAGCACCTAGCTACAGTTTGATGTTAATGCCGTTGTAATCCTTGTCTTTGATGAGTTAACTGTCTACCAATGTTCACAAACAAGCAGTGAGAAAAGCTGCATATTCTGCCAGGTTTCTTAAATAGTCACAGAACAAAACAAAAGGTGACAAAAGCCTAAATGTGTTTTTTTTTTAAACTGGAAAGAATTGCATTAACAGGAGCGTCATTAGGAGATGATAGCACAATGCACTGACCACAAGCTCATGTGGAAAAGCAGGAGAGACAAAAAGACAAAATCCATCCTACAGCCCCTGTTAGAGCTAAAATACAGTTCATGGCAAAGGAATGCTGAAACCACCAGAGATACCTGAAAGATTCTCATTTATTAACATGTGCTGGAAATTTGTAACATAGTACAAACACAGCAGGTACGCTTGAGTGCAGTTTGCCTTCAAGTCCAAGACGATGAATGCGTCCTTTAAAAAAAAATATATACGATTTTTCCTATCATGCAAATTCGTGTGAGGTCTGAGGTTTCACAAGCTCATATCGGCCCACCTGTCCTTCCTGTAGAAGTTGACCAATGAGCTGGTCTTTGTGTACTTTGCGGCTGACGACGAGGAAGCGTTGCCATCCCTGTCCGTACGACTTGCTTCGCAGCCCGTATTTCTGGGATATCTGGTGGATCTGTTTGCGTTCGTCATTGGTGAGGTCAGTGGAGAAGCGGAGATCGTCCTGGCGGTCTGAACTGGCGTAGCTCCGAATGATGTCCTCGATGTCGCGCTTGCTGAGCTGATTTGCGGTTTTATCCGTGTCCATACCCAAACCCTCTCTCGAGAACTGTTCCTTCACTCTGATTGGCTCTGCAATTCCATCCCCGTCGCGGCCCAGACCGCCTCCTTTCCAGCCCATCTTCCGGAGCAGCTGGTTTCCAATGTTGTCTTCCTTTATCTCCTGCCTCGTGGCCTCTTCGCCTGAGCGACCCATGATCTGAGAACGTGATATGGCGTCACTGTGACCCTCCTTTCTTAAGTTGGATTTGACCACAGCCTGCGTCTGTCTCAGTGTGACTAAAGCCTCCATCGCTGCAATGTGCTTCACTATTTTCTTTGGCCCAATTCCTGCTGCGACATACTGTCCTTCTAAGTAAACTTCACACTTCCAGCGATGATCGGGCAGAACTGTAAACTTGTAGTCAGCAGTCACTTTATTAAACTGAGCGGTATCATTAATAATGCAGATTGCATTGTCAGAGTTTTCCAGGATAACCAGCTCGCTCAGCTTCTTTTTGCCACCTTGTTGCCCGAATCGTCCACCAAAATCTGACTGAATATTTCCTCTGGAGTACTGAGACTGCGGTTGACGTTGCTGCTGCATCTGCTGCTGCACCTGATGCTGCATCTGCTGCTGCATCTGATGCTGCATCTGATGCTGCATCTGATGCTGCTGCTGTTGCGCTTGGTTCAGGCGAAGTTTTCTGACCGCCTCCTGCGCTGCTGCGTGCTTAGAGCTCTTTTTGGTGCCCATCGCCTGTGCCACCAGCTCGTCCTGCAGGAAAACGCTGCACAGCCATTTACTGCTGTTGGGCAGCAGATCAAATTTATAGTCTATCTTCATGCGATTAAAAGCTGCAGAGTTGTTCAGTATGCAGATAGCGTCGTGAGCATTGTCCAACACCACAAACTCTGTCCAGTGCTTATGCTTGTCAGGCTCGTACTGGCCCTTGGAGCTAGGTGTCGGCTTATCTTCCGGGTTGCGGAGTGCAGGCAAAAATGCTGGTGTTGGGCTGTGTAGCTGGCACACAACCATGTCATTAACTACAGTGTGTCTGAATTTACGCTGCACGACACGAACCTCGACTGGTTTCAGGAAAAGTTTTACAGCCTGCTCAGAGGCTCTGTCTCTTGCCCCGTTTTTACTTCCGGAGTATCCAGTAGCGAGATACACACCCTGGCATCTCAGTTCACAGGCGTAGCCGTCTGTCGGTACTTTCTTGTTCTTTGGTAGATCAGCCTGAGGAATATCCTTCAGGCTCACATAAATATACTCAGGGTTGGTTTTGCAGGCCTGGATGCTACGGCTCAACATGAAATTATAGTTTGGTGAGTCACTTCCAGTCATGTACATAGGGTCCCTAAAAGCAACAGCCAGTGCAGATGCTACATTGGCAATCAGCCTTTGCTTCTCATCTAATGTTGGCTGAGATATTGGAAGAGGCTGCAATGAAGAGCCCGACTGAGAAACATTAGGACTGCTCCTCCCCGGGCTATTGTAGACTCTGCTGAACAGCCTGCTCGATGACGGCCTGTCTTGATGGCTGTAGCCCAAACCCTGACGTCCCGAATCCCAGCCTCCTGATCGCCCCCCTCCCCCGTACCCATTGTACCTGGGCGGCTGAGAGTAAGAGTCTGAACTCCGAAAGTTTTGGGCTTCATATTTTGCTGTGTACTCCTGCTGTGTTTTTGCCAAGAAGTTTGACGACGACCCACGACTTCCATAACCCAACCCACTACCTGAAGAAATGTCTCTGTCTCTTTCTCTGTCCCTGTGGGAACCCCAGGAGTCAGATGTGTATGCTGGCACTCTGTCAAAAGCGGGCCTCATTGAGGAGGATCCCTGTGCTCTGCTGCTGCTATTGTACGAAAAGTGTTCAGAGTCCCTCGGACTGTACAGCTCGCTCCTCCTGCGCTCCTTATCGTTCTCCTTCTCATCAGTGTAGGTTCCTCCACTGCTCCCGCCGCTTACGAAGTGCACAGGCTCAAATCGAGGTCTGGAACCAAATTTTGTCAAAGGCATTTTTCTCATGGGCTCCTCTCCTGCAATAAAATGACACAAGTAAGCAATTAAGGAAAAACAAAAGGGACCCATATAATCACAGATGTTTACAAAAAAAGTAATAAAGACATCTTTTATAAAACAGAGAGCTAACTTATTTTTATTACAGTGGCATTTATCGTCAGGTTCATAAACATATGAAGAGGTAGTGCACAACATGTTAATGGTGTGAGGAGCTGAGCCATATTAGCTTTTCAGACTAACTGTAGTTTTGACACTCTACATTTAGCTAATGATTTCACCAAATGATTTGGCCTTTTAAAACAAATGCCAACATTTTTCATAATGGATTTTTACATGTGCATGTCAGATGTATGCTGAATAGTGCTGTGTGATCTGACTACATGTCTGTCTGCATCTTCAAAACTAAATGATAAAAATTAAAGGAAAAAAAAACCCACTAGCACCTTATTTACAGATAGTGTCATTGCAGGATATCGACATACACCTATTGCATCCCTGGTCTGTAAACAACAACAACAGCAACACAGAACTGTCTTTATACTTTCAAAATAGAGAGCTGCAATGTTGCTGAAACCTGAAGCGTTAAAACACACCTCTGACTCAGGCTTCCTCTGCTATTCCCTGGTATATGGAGACGTATATTTAATCTTTTCTGTCAGCACATAAGCTGTGTGTTCAACTGCTGAACTTTGCATTTATCTAAACAGTAGTGCTAGCAGCTGTGCAACTGTGTGTACATTTTCTTATTATTACTATTAAACACAATTAATAACAGCAGGTCCTACTGTCCTGAATTTTGGATGTGTGCGCACTTCAATGTCGATGATTGGATACAGGAACACTATGAAATTAGAGTGATCTTATTATTCAATTCATTATTGTTAGTTGTAAGAAGTCTGTAAAAGTCAGTGCTAGCTGAACCACTGAGGCTGCCACTGTAGTGCAGTGGAAAATAAACAAAAGGCTAAATTAAATTAGAGCTTAACTGTAATGTATTCAAACTGATAATAGCAAAGATAACAACCTGTAAACTGGTATTAACTCATTCACTGCCAGCCATTGGCAGTGAATGAGTTAAACCCATTGACTCATTCACTGCAATTGACGGCTATAGAGGTCAATGGCAGTGCATGAGTTAACAATGAAACATAGTTGGGATGAAGACCATGCCCAGAATGACTAGAATGAAAGAAAATACATAATTCACACAAACACATATTATATAAAATAGAGAGATGCATAAGGTATATTAAGGTTGTGTCATTGTTCAGCCAAGGAAAGCATGTGAAAAGGAAAATGTCTCCAGCTTGGGAAAGGGTGAAACTGCAGATCACCTGCAGCCCTTGGTGGATGCAAAGTAAAATATAAATAAAATATTGTAATATACTATTGCTGTTATATAAAAAAAGATAATAGCATTAATAATGAAATAATATTAATATGAAGAGGCACCTCAGTCAGTTATGATGTGAGGTGGATAATTGTTAAAAGTAGTCTGCATCAAGCTTAAGGTTTGCTCAAATTCAGTACAATGACATATGAGATGAAGAAAATAAAGAAAATATCTAAACTAATTATTATATATATATTATTAACTATTGTCAGTGCTGAGTGGTGCTTGGAAACATATCCTGATGACCTATGTGGGATTCACAATGCCACATTTGTGTCCACCTGAGTGGGTATTGGGCTATGCAGAGTGAAGGATTATGTGTGTGCAACCTACAAATTTTACTTCAGCTCTTTTGTCTCCTATGCGGCGATCTAAAGGGCCCAATAATAGCCTAAACAAGAATGGCGCACAGACCAGTTTCCCCCGGTAAATATAAACTGTGAAAACTTAGGATCTGCATGGGGCCAGTGCACAGCTATGAGAGCCCTATTATAAAGGACTGAGTAGGCTTGCACTGACAGACTGTC